AACCTCACATTTCTATTGAAGTTAATAGGAGTTATGATCTTATTTTTTTCTTGTAATGTTCATTATTGACGTATTGTTTGAGATTGTCATTGATATTCTTTATTTTCAATAAAATAATTTAATAATAATAATTTTTCTAATTTCAAACTTCATATTCTTGAAGATGTGATTAGTTATTGATATTTTACTCAAAAACACCATCAGTTCAGATTAAAAATAGCTAATTGCATTAGAATATACCATATTAATAGAACCTTTTCTACAGATGCATTCCCTTTTTTTCAGTTATTAAAAAATTTAGGAACGACGGACGCTTCATAGCACACTCAGTTCAATGCTTGTGTAAATATTGTGAAAGCTTTTACAGAGAAGTCAAACGTGGATTTATTTTGGCTGAACAAGGGTAGTTCCAGTATCAGGATCCATGCATTTCTAATGGCTTTTCATGGCTCCTTTTTTTTATTATTATTTATTTGGTGACACTCTGCTTATACAAAATGACAATATAAGTTGTCTAAGTCTCTAAGTTTAAATAAAAATACTGATAGCTATTGAACTTTTTATTATTTATGTCATTGCACATGTAATTTCAACAGTTTTGGCGGGACAACATGGACGACGGTGAGACAGACAAGAAAACGCTCCACATCAACAGCTCTTTCAATAGCATTCAAAATACTTCTTGCTGTTTTTACTATTATTTATCTTGTTAACTCTTCATTTTGATGTTTCAAAAGCATTTTTGAAGTTTGTAGGAAATTTGTAGCAACAAATAAAAAAAGGGTGTGTAATTATATTGAGGAGTCTGAGTTTTAAGGTTTTGTATCATCATTATGAAATGTTTTTTCTCTCATTCCGAGGTAATACATGTTCTGCATGAATACCCTGCCTGCTGACATACGTTACTACAAAGATTAGTCTTCGTAGGTATCCTGCTCCAGCACTAAAACCATTTTTTTTGACGTTTATTTCAGTAATATGTGCTCAAAGTCTGCAGATAACCTCCTCTCTTTTGTCCATTCGGGGTTTATCCTCTGGATGGCGCTGTTTCTCCTCTACACTTAATGATAGCAAAGAAGAAGGGGATATATTTGGCAACATGGCGACTCCCATGCACAGAATAATTGCGAGGAGACAAGCGTAAGTATAAGCAGAATAACTACAATTTATAACGAAATCTTTGCAAGCCTGCGAATTGATTTTTATATATCTTAAAGACTAACTTACCTTACATCCTTTAACGTCCCTTTACTTCGACAAAATTGATCCTAACCGGAGCACAGAAAACAGCGCAGATCCTCATTCGCTACTCCTGTCTACTTCATATTTTTACCTTCTGTACAACTATTATATTTATCAAAGTTTCACAAAGGTTTTTTTGAATGAAGGGTGATGGTTACAGTGGAGCTAACATGTAAGCCTACTAACTGTAAATAAGAAATAAATGTTTACAGACAGCAGAGGAAACAATGTAAGCCTCTGATGCAGCTTTTACTGCCTTAAACCTAAATGAAGGGCCTGAATTTTATTCCTACTTAAAAATATATATAACATATTTCGTAAAAATGAATGTTGACTAAATATTAAATCGGGGGATTGATGTCCCTTTTTTTCCTTAAATTCTTATTTTTTTATATTGTTGAACTACGACACCTACGATTTCAGTAAGATTATGATTATATAATTTTTTCAAAGCATTTGTCTTCATAGTGTTTATATATATAAAGTAGACATTAAGTTTTGATCTATACAAATAGCTACTCTATAAAGCGAAAGAGGTTCTACTATAAAATATGTTCTTTCGATGTGAAAGGCGTCTAACGAAAGTCAAAAATGTAGAAATCAATCCCAAAGTTGATTGTAAAGTCATAAATCATGTTCTAGCCAAATTGTATTTTTTTGCTTGTATTGTCAAAATACAAGCAAAAAAATAAAATGTTTATCATTTGAATAATCATCTTCTTTTATTAGAAGGCAGAAATTACATTTAAACAACATTTTTACCTAATCCTAACATTTTAAAATGGATTTTATAATTTCCCAAGCTGTTATGAATATGATCTTGGGTCCAGTATCTGAAAAAAATTACTTTAATGTGTAAAAATAGAGGACACTTTATATTTATTTCATAGTCAGATGGTATTCTTTACTTTTTTTTAGGATATTCATTTCATTTTCCTTGTAACTCAGGCCTAAAGTTTTTAAACAGCGTTTTGCTTTAGATAGTAGACATGGAAATGACACAGCTGTTTTGCTGCGGAAAATCTTATTGAGCATAGAATGCATTGTAGATTAGGAAGATAGCTGATTTAAGGTAAGCAAGAAAGTGGTCATATATTTTTAACTGCTTTGTAAAGATAAAGTATATATTGGCATTGTGCTTGAATGTTATCGTTTAAATAATAATGAGCCTCCTAGTCTAGAAAAGTTTGGATTTAAAAAAAGAAAAAAAAATTCCAGTAACCTTTCTTATTTTTTATGCATTTCCAAAACCAACAATATAACCCATTACTTTAAACTGCTATTAATTTACATAAAATATGCATTAATCGCAAACGTTATTGAAAATAAAATGCAGAGGTATTGTTCAGTGTGTTGAAAAGTTTGTCTTATTTTCCTGTCTTCAGAGAGGCTAACAAACAACATGTCCGCTGCCAGAAGTGCTTGGAGATGGGACACTGGACGTATGAATGCACCGGGAAACGAAAATATTTGCACAGACCATCAAGAACAGTTGAGCTAAAGAAAAAGCTGAAGGAAAATGAAAACAAACCTCTCAGCATCACAGGGTAAGGCTCTTCATCCCTTCTTTCCTTCTCAGATATGCTTCCAACCTAATGTGCTATGAATCACACTTTGGGTGTTTCCAGTAATTGTTCTCCGAGACTTTCCAATAAATAAAACATGCTAACCAGCAAATGTCAGCGTTCAATTTTAAAATTAGCTTGGATGGTGGTTCATAGATCCTCTGCAATAAAAATAGTTGTGAAACGTAACATAAAATGATAGAGAACAAGTAATGCATTAAATGTTGGTTCAAACTGGTTTACGTATCAGTTAAATGTTGTATTTCTCTTCACAGACCAGGAGGAGAGGGATCCAGTGAGAGAAAAAGTAAAAAGAAGTAAGTCTGTATATTTATTAACTATATATGTATTTTCTGTTTCCTTTAAATTGGTTGTTTTTAAGTTAATGTCAGTTCTCGATCTGCAAGTTGTATGTCAAAGAAAAGCTTAAGGTGTGATTGACCATATACACACATAAGGGAGCAAGTGGTATTAGTAATTAATTTTGATGTTTTTTGTTCTTATCTATATATTATAAAACAAAAGCCCACATTTGTTAGCATGCAAAAAGAAAGAGAGAAAAAAAAACGATGCTAAACTATTTAAATATCTTTAAATTAACAACTTGAAGTTTTTTTCCTTGCTATCATTGAACCTGTGAATATTTTGTTTATTATTTAAGCACAAGCTATTATTAAATTAACTGTAAAAAATAAATAAAAAGTCCCAACAGCGCTCTCTGGTGGCGCACAATGATAACAGCAATGCTTAGGAGCTTTGGTCTCCAGGATTTCTGTGAATTCTCTCCCACTTATAGAAGTTTTGATGCAAATAGTCATGGATGCCGGTCTTTATATTTTAGCATTCTTGGTTTTAAATGTTTAATGTGTTAATAGTTAAAGCATTTTAGTTGGGAAAACAAACATAATAATAGTATTTAATTGTCAACCAGTTGGAAATATTCTTGCTTATTTATAGGCAGAACAATCAGAATATATTTTTTTAAATAAATCATTCTGTAATTTCCTCATTAACTCAGGTGCTTTATTTTTCTATGTTATTTTAGGCTTTACACAAAGCTAAAGTATATAAACTTTTTGTATTAAAAAAATGCACAACATTTAATAATTGAACATTTCAGGATGTTACAACGCCCAGGACTGAAAAGGAGGAAGCTGTCCTTATTAAACATACTAAACATAAATATTAATGCAACACTTTTGTTGTTGTTTCTATCATTCATGAATAGAATCCAAAGATCCAAGAATATATCTAAATCTGTGTTAGTGAAATAATCCATCCACCTCACAGATGCGGATTAGACTGATTATTTGATTATTACATAGGTCAACCTTTGGCTTTATTTTGATTTTCTTTTTACATCAAAACATCAAACTGACTGTTAAGGTGACTAAATAATCTCATAGGGGATATTAGATTGTTTAGTCAGCCATATATCTGTTTTTTAATCCTGTATTCTGTTTTTTTTTTTTTTTTTGCTTATATTTTCAAAGAAAATCAGTTAAAACAACTTGAACATGTAGAAATGTTGAACTTTGTCTCTTTCTGTCATGTTAGATCATTTCTCTTTGCACTCTAATGAAGATGCTGCACGTTGATAATTGTCTGTGTAACAGGTACAAAGGGAGAGGTTTTACTTCTTCGTTTTCCTCTGCTTGCTCTCAGGGCAAAAGACTCGAGCGACAACAGCAGCGACGACTCGTCTAGCGACTCGTCAGACAGCAGCGACTCCTCCAGCTCCTCCTCTGAGGACAGCGACAGCTCTTCCTCGTCATCCTCTTCTTCCTCTTCCAGCTCCTCCTCTTCCTCATCGTCCTCGGACAGCTCTGACTCGGAAAGCAGCAGCGATTCAGACGGACCACCAAAGAAGAAGAAAAAGAAGAAATAAGCATGTGGGGGATTAAGGAGGGGGTTTTCTAGCCTTACTTAGTGTCAAATTAATGCTTGTTTTCTAAAGTCCGATCGTAAATACTGGGCCTAAAGCAGCTGGACAGATGTGTTGCTGAGGAGGGCAGGATAGTTTTAAGTTGGTTTCCTCTGTTTTTCTTTTTTTCCCCACACTCTTTTTCGTTGTATTTACTGATACTGTGATATTTTTTAATGTTTGCATTTCTAGGAAGAACGTAAAAACGTATAAACCTATCAGGAGAAATACAAACCCGAGTCAAGTCTTTGGATTAATGGACTTAACTTTGGTTTTAGTCAGCCAGGATCTCTAAACGATAAACAAGACCGAAACCGTTTGAACACATTTTAAAATTTGCAAAATCTAAGTGGAAATTCTTATTAAATTGTTTCTTTCTAATAAATCCGTTTGGTTATTGTTGTGTAATCTCTTGTCAAAGTATTCCTACCCCTTAAACAACAACACACACTCTAACCAAACACTTCAGGGGTGTCTTTGTGATAATAATCCACACAACAATCCACACTTCAATTGTAAAGTGGATAAAAAAAATAACAAGAATCTCAACTGAATTTTTGTCTGCTATTTGATTGAGCCGCTATAATGCATGGCTATGTTTTGCTCCAAAACATTCCAATGTTTCCATGTCTGTGTTTTTCAGATTGTAATTGGAACTCCGGTTTGGTCTGTTTTTTTCCGGCACCATCCATCTTCCAAACATTTTTGAGCAAGCATTTTGGGAAATATTCCCCACATTTTGATCCTATCACCAACATGTTTTATAGTGGAGTTGGTGTTCAGCCTGTTGGAGTTTTGCATATACCAAACCAGCTTTACTTGAAAAGAAGTTTAAAATATGTTTTGCAACAATGCCACACATTTCTAAAACACTAAAAATGTATGTTTTCATAGTGTAGATTAGGCTGGCAAATTTATTAGCTGATTTTAAAGGAAAAAAATAGCAAATGTCTTTTATTTATATTGAGCTTTTTCAAATCAAGAGACTTGAAAAAGCAATTTATGCTACATTCAGTCATGCACCCATTCACACACTTATGGTGGAAAGCTACACTGTTGCCACAGCTGCCCTGGGGCTCACTGATAGAAGCTAGTTTGCCGTACACTGGAGCCACCAGTCCCTCCGACCACCATCAGTCAGCAATGCAGGTGAAGTATATTGCCACCAGTGGCAGGGCAAACTCCTGCATTCAACGCTACTGTTGTGAAATGAAGAAAATAAGATTCTGAAACATGGAGGGAGTAAGGTTTAAATTATGTTTCTGTATAAAGATCTGATGCAGCTTTTCAGACTTTCTGTGGCTGTTAAATGTGTACATCATGTTAAGAGGTGAATATTACAGACGAAGGAGCTTAATTTGGCCTGCATCTGAGCAAGAAACCTATAGGTTTCCTTTCTACAAACATCAATTCTTATGTGTTTTAATGACATAATTGTTTAGATACTCCATAAAAGTGTTAGTTTATCTCATTAAATACCATTTGAATTAGTGGAAGTTTGTGATTGTAATGAGATTTCAAGTAAGTTTGTGATTGTAATGAGATTTCAAGTAAAAAAAAGTTCAAGCAGTACAAATTCTACATACCTTTTCTATAATGTTATTAAACCATGAAAACATTTCGCTCTTGATCGTATCAGAAAGGGCTTTGGATGTGGAAATAGTTCATATAAATATATACTTTTCAGCTTGATGTAGTCTTGTCACAAGATATTTCCATAGCAGCGGAACTATTAAAGCGTCCATTGTGTGCTTTGTGGGGAGGGGTCAGCCTCTAAGGCTGTAGAACCATCTTGGAGCCAAAAGGTCAACGGTGGTGAATGACCTTTGATGAACTAGCCCTTATTTAAGGTACCAAACCTCTAGGTTTCTCACTGCCTGGGGGAAATGCTCTCAGATTAAAAGATAAAACCTCCATGTGATTAACTCTTTTTCCATGAATTCAACAAAAAACAAATTTCACCAAGACTGGTTATTTTCTTTTCATCAAATTTTAATTGTTAGAAAAGACAATTAGAGACATCTTAATATGTTTGCAACAGTTATCTATAAATATAGCTTTGTTGATCACATCAATCCACCGTTTTTTGTTATTTATATAACAATTATTACATAACTTCTCTTCGGAAAAAAAAGGAAATCGAAGTTATTTTCATAATTCAATGTATTTATTTCATAAAACGCCAAACAACCGGAATAATTAATCGTCTACCTTTATGGTTATTTAACAAGCTTTCAATGAACAGCGGGGAACAATGAAACGTGCGTGATTTCCTCCTGTACGTCAAAACACGAGCAACCTTTACGTCACAAAAATGCTGCCTTCATAAAATATCGGAATTATCATAGCAACCGGGCTCGTTTTGATGTCCGTCAAAAACGAATATCGTCAACTTGATTCAGTTAGTTATATAACCTAATTTTAGGAAATTAATCCTTTGTGTGAGTTAAAGCCTTAAGCTTTTCGTTTTTATTACGCAATAACTTGGTTAAAGTGCGACAGTTCGTTCAAATGCGTGGAAATATTTGTAAATAGTTGACATAATGTTCAATCCAATTCGCCCCATATTTTACTGAACATGGAAAATAAACACTGTCCTTGCAGAAACATGACAAAAGTGTTACATACTTTCAGCCATAGAGGGATGGAGGATGTGTTTGACATTTCTCCGACAGACATTGAAAGCAGCGCTGCCTCCTGCCATCCACTCCTGTCTGCTGTACCTGCTTGGCTTCTTAACTTAGCAATCAGTCACTTTTATTCAGCAGTAACAACATGAATGAGTGAAAAAATGTTGTCGTTTTGTTTCCGTCTCGCTGTGGAACTGCGTTTTGGGTGAAACATGTGAACCGTTGGTTCGGTTTTAGTATTTTAGCTGTTCAGCTGAGTCCATTTTGCGTCTAACTGGAAGTGGCAAAAGACAAAGAGAAAAGAGCTTTCCAACAGCTAGAATGGTTTGGGCCTAAAAAGAAGACAGGAGGTAAGGACTGTCAGTGTCGGGAAAGGGGTTATTTTTCGAATAAAATTGCTTTGTAATGTTGTTACGTTTTAAGAGGTTGCTATCTTCAATTTCCACAAAAGATAAAATGTTATAAGAGGCTAGCCGCTAGCTTAGCAGCTAATCGCCGATGGCTAGCAAACAATTCGCTTAAAGAGGCAGGTTCTCCTGCTGGTGAGCCTCTTTTTACTCATTAGTTTGGTTATAGGGAATTATTTTACTTTCTGGTCATAGGAGCATTTCTTAAATTTACAACCAAACCGTACATAATACCTTTGTTTTGTCTGTGTTAATTGTAGTGGTCTTGTTTTTGTGTCTAAATGTGAAGTAATAGGTCAGCTATTTTCTCTTTTCTTTGGTAGGAGATGAAATTAATTGGAAAAAAAGATGTACATTTACTGAAATATTTGTACTTCTTTAAGAAAAGTTTTAAAACTCATAACTTAAAATTATTCAAATTATATAAATTGAGAAATATTGCTTATAATTCGCCTTACATGTATGTAAGATTATAAAATAGGTGAAATAACCACCAAAAGCCCAGAGGAGGGAATATGAATAAGGCATTTATTTTATGCATAATGGTATTAATCAATTTGACACACATGAAAAGACACATTAAGAATAAACATTTCTTTGTACATGATTAGGTTGTTTTTATACAGCCAGTCAGAATCTGGAAAAAGTTATACTTGCTTTAGGAAAGGAAGCTGAGTTCAGTTTTATGTGAAGCCATTTTAAGTAACACCTACAGGAAAGGTCAAGACAATGAAAAATAAGTCCAAATTTCTCACTTACCAGGTTAAACGCTTAAATCAGTGACTGGGGGCAGTGATAATGAGGCTCTTTGGACAAACAGGCTTTTTTCACATAGCTGGAAATCCCCTAAATAATTGGTCTGAGATTGGCGTCAGACAAGTTTCCATAGTTTGCTGAATCAAATATATATATAAAAAAAGAAGAAAGATCTGGATCCTGTCAAATCTGATAGATTAGACCTAAAAGACCACTGGAAATCTGTATCTGCTGAGAAAAGTACCTTTTGATTATGTGAACAGCTGAATTTGATCGGTTAGCAATGCCCTGATCCGATATTTATATTAGAAATCGGTCCAATATCTGTTAAGAAAAACACTATGGAATATACTGCTCTGCATCGTCAAAGTCTTCAATTTTCATCATGTTGATGGAGACACTTTACTTAAAGAGAAACTCCTTTTTTTTTTTCTTTTTTTACATTGGGCCCTTGATTTTACGTTATTACATCATGTTTTACTCACCCGTATGAGTTTTGTTTCATTTGGAGCTGTTCTGAAGATATTCCGTTAGATTATATCCAAGTAACGTCTTCCTATGGGTAATGAGTTGAAGGCACAAACTAAACTGGTCATAATTTATTTGTTATGGTACGCCAGCATTCATAACATGTAGGCGAATCACTGTCCCTCAGACATCAGCGGTTATATTTTTTATATTTATATCTTTTAAAAACAAAGTGGAGTGTGTATGACGTCATCCGTGTGCTGGCCTTCATGTTGTTTGCCCATAGTAAAGTGAGTAGAACATGATTTAATAACGTAAAATCAAGGGCCCAATGTAAAAAAAAAAAAAAAAAAAAAAAAACGGCGTTCCCCTTTAATTTTAAAGTTTATGCCGCCCATTGGTTAACAACCCATCACACAGTTGTTCTCATACTGTTGTTGACTTGTTCTCTTTTTCAATATTATCACTTGATCAAACTTTTTTTAATGTGCGACACTACAAAACAAGTAATAATAGTATGTATGATTGGAGCTGGCATTATATCTGGTCACTATAACGGCCAATACTCAAAGCTGCCATATCAGTGTCCCTGGTTGTGTTGTAATTACAGTTGAATTACACTTGATTATAAGTGGATATAACTAGACTTGCGCTTATTAAAAATTGTCTTGTCCATTTATAATTTTAAATATCATAATTTAAAAAGGTAATAATGGCAGTGTGTTTTGATCATGTTTGAAACGAATGTAAATCTAACTGAATTGAATGCATAGGTGGATATCGTAGACAAACACCTGTTGGTCCACATGGACACTTCATTTTTGCATCCATTTAAGGTAACTGGATAAAAATACAAATGCCCACCCAGCGCTTTCAAAACTGAGTCAGATCATTGGAGGACAAAGAAAAAAGGAATTAGTACCAGCCAGGAAATAGCT